TACCTCGAGCCCGTGCTCTGCAACAAGAGAAGCCACCGCAATGAGAAGCCCGCACACCACAATGAAGAGTAGCCCCCGCTCTCTGCAACTAGAGAAAGCCCATGCACAGCAACGAAGACCCAGCACAGCCAAAAATAAATAAATAAATAAATTTAAAATAACACACACACACACACACAAACCTATAGGCTAGATTTCGAGACCTCTACACATATTAACTCATTCTATTTTAACAGCAAATCTCTGAGGTAGGCACTATTATTATCCTCATTTTAAAGATGGGAAACTGAGGCCCAGAGAGGTTAAGTAACTCACCCAAGGTCACACAGCTGATGTGAACCCAGCATCTGGCTCCAGAGTCTATGCTCTGAAATAACACCTGGTTTTATTATTTATGATTGGAGTTGTTATGGAGAAGCAAAGTTGGGGATGAGAGGAGAAAAAGGGTGGGTGATACATGAGACCAAAGGAGGGCAGTCAGGCTCCCCTGCCCCGCCATTGACCTCCTGCCTGTCCCTGCAGGTAGCAGGGCTGAAAGGCCCCGTGCTTCGGCTGCAGGAACCTCTGGGTGTGCTGGCTATTGTGTGCCCGGAAGAGTGGCCCCTGCTTGCCTTCGTGTCTCTGCTGGCCCCTGCTCTGGCCCACGGCAACACTGTGGTCTTGGTGCCCAGCGGGGCCTGTCCCATCCCTGCCTTGGAGGTCTGCCAGGTACAGTCGCCTGCCTGCCTGCTGCTGCTCCCAGCAGCCTGTGGAGCAGCAGATGGATGAAAGATGCCCCAAGACCTGCAGGAGCTCAGCTCTCACCCCACCCCCTTGGTAACCATGGTAACCTGCATCCTGGCACAAAACCTTCACTCCTCATAGACCCAGTGACGGTTCTCTCCAGACTGTGAGCCTTCACCAGTCATGACCCCAGTTCCATTCCTTCCAGGACCCCCATGGCCACTCCCCATTTGCCCATTCTTCACCCTCCCCGACAGCCCTGGGGGTCTCTGACTCCCTCCCAACCCTGGGTGACCCACTGTCCCATCCCCTAGGATATGGCCACCTTGTTGCCAGGGGGCCTGGTGAATGTGGTGACAGGAGACCGGGACCACCTGACCCGCTGCCTGGCCTTGCACCAGGACATCCAGGCCCTGTGGTATTTCGGATCTGCCCAGGTACCTTTTGTTTGCCATCTCCAGTGTCTTAAACTTCACCAACAAACTCTTCCTTTTCTGGGGACATGGCTGCACCCCCTTAGAACACCCATTGCTAAGGAGGAGAAACTCCTTGGCAACCACGTTTTGAGATCCTGCCCCTTTACAGCCCTGGTTGCTAAGGAAGAGGATCTCTTTAGCAGCAAGGGCCTGAGATCCTGCCTAGCCCAAAGACCTAATCTCATTGGACAACCCATTGCTAAGGACCACACCCTAGCAACAGTGTCAGAAGCCTACAGTCCACCCTCTTAAATCTCCTGATGGTAACAGATGGGAACTCCTTGTTAACGATAACTTCGGGCCCCATTCCTTTGAGTGTGGCCTGTTAAAGGGGAAGAAGTTCCATAGGCGTAAAGGTCAACCTTGTTTCCCTCAGCATCTGGAAGGTTTGCTTTCTAGGAGCTGAACATTCTAGCCACAGAGCCTAGGCAAGCCTTCAGGCCCCTCCTCAATAATAGTCCTTGTTGCCAAGGAAGCAGCTGCTTAGCAACCAAGCCAATGGAAATGCTGACCACGCCCCCCCATCTCCCCACGCCAGGGCTCCCAGTTTGTGGAATGGGCCTCAGCAGGAAACCTCAAGCCCGTGTGGGTGAACAGAGGCTGCCCGCGGGCCTGGGATCAGGACGCCGAGGGGGCAGGCCCAGAGCTGGGGCTGCGGGCAGCACGGACCAAGGCCCTGTGGCTGCCCATGGGGGACTGATTGCCCAAGTGCCACACACTCTATCCTGGACAGAGGACAGATGGACCCCAACCGATGCCAGACGTCTGGAACATTCCTCTTATTATGGTTCCAATAAACTCTGACCAATCTTGGCTGTGCCTCTGAGGGGAGGAAGGGAGGAAATAGCAACTTCTGGGCTATTGAGGCCACTTCAGTTCTGAGGCTCAGCAGCCGCATGGGCTGGCGCCAGGACAACTCAGTGTCTGTGAAATAGATACAAGGGACTCTAAGAACCTTTGGACAGGGCCGCAGCGACTCTTGTCTCTTCTGGTCTTTTCTATCCAGTGGCTCCTGCTCCCTGGTTTTCTCTGCCTCTGCATTGCCTCAGGATCTGTGGTGTGCTGGTGAAAATAAAATACAGTAGCTCTCTGGAATAAAATAAAATCCATGGTTAAGTAACTTTAGCCAGTTCCATGGTGCTCCTACCACCGTGTCCGTTTCAAGCTCCAGATGATTGAACAACCGGCTGAAAATTCCTGAATTTTTAACAGTTCCCACGAGCCACCCCAGCATACCACTGTTTGAGAATTCTTTCTGATGCAAGGAACCCACACACACTAGCTTAGGATAAAAGGACATTTTCTGGAAAGCTACAGAGATATGGAAAATAGGGCAAGATACACAGCCGAGAACCCCAGGTCCTGAGAACCCGAATGCAAGCAGGAGCTGTATTCAGGTCCCATCTCAGTGGGTCATGTCATTTCTTGGGTCTTGTATCTGCCTGTCTGCTTCATTCCAGATCCTTCTAGCCATGTGACTTTAGGAAAGCTTCTTCACTCTTTTTTTTTTTTTTTTTTTTAATTTTATTTTTGGCTGTGTTGGGTCTTTGTTGCTGCGTGTGGGCTTTCTCTAGTTGCGGCGAGCAGGGTTACCCTTCGTTGCGGCGCGTGGGCTTCCCACTGCAGCGGCTTCTCTTGTTGCGGAGCACGGGCTGTAGGTGCACGGGCTTCAGTAGTTGTGGCTCGTGGGACCCAGAGCGCAGGCTCAGTAGTTGTGGCACACGGACCCAGGTGCTCCGCGGCATGTGGGATCTTCCCGGACCAGGGCTTGAACCTGTGTCCCCTGCATTGGCAGGTGGATTCTTAACCACTGCGCCACTAGGGAAGCCCTTCACCACTCTTAAGCCTCAGTTTCCTCATCTATAAATTGGGGCTAATAATTCCAACCTCACTGGGTAGATTCTGTGATGGTTACACAAAACATGCTGTTAATTAGAGGTTGATTTTGTCCTGGGGCAAATGAGAGCAGACAACCTCCTGTCAGTATTTGACTAAAGCTGGGCAGAAGAGATAACCTCTCCCAGTATCTGGACGTTTGGACAGGAAAGACACGGGAACGTCTTGGAGGAAAGTCCCTGGAAGGCTCTACTTCCTCTGGGGTTTGATAACTTCCCCCCAGATTCCATGGGCTGCCTCAGTGACCTTCCTGTTAGTCCTGTTGCTTTAACCAGCCAAAGCCAGCTACAGGAGGTCTCTATAGCCCCAACCCAGACCACAGAGGACACTTAGTGCCACATCCACAGGAGAAGAAATCTGATTGGCCAGACTGGGGTAGATGTCCACTTCTGGTCCAGTCTTCTCTGGCTTAGGGGCAGGAGCTCCTAGTTAAGGCAGCCATCCAGTTGGTCAACAAAAATCGGTTGAGTGCCTGCTGTGAGTGGGGCACTGTTGTAGGTGCTGGGGATGGCCATGAACAAGACAGAACTTAGCCTTGTGAGCTTGTGCAGTGGATGAGGGGTATATTCATTTCTTGTCAGTGCTGTGACAATGACCACAAAGTTAGTGGCTTAAATAAAACAATGCAAACATATCATCTTACAACTCTGGAGGTCAGAAGTCTGAAATGGGTCTCACTGAGCTAAAATTAAGGTGTCAGCAGGGGTTGGGAATTTGTCCCAAGGGCACTAGGGAGCCATAGAGGATCTGTGAGCAGAGGAGAGGTAGGCTTAGCTCTGGCTGAAAGACGCTGATGTAACCTAAGGTGACAGGTACAGTACTATAGCAGTGGTAGAAGTTCAGGGCACTCTGGGGGCCTGAAGAAGACACCTTTCCCAACTTGAGTGTGTGTGTGTGTGTCTGTGTATGAGGTGAAGGCGACAGAGATGGCAGGAATCTTCCCAAGGCAGGTGCCACTTCACTGAGTTTTTTTTTCCCCAGCCTTATCGGGATATAATTGACAGTTAAAAGTTGTATATATTTCAGTTCTACAATGTTATTTCTTAAGGTGTGCAACATGATAATTTAACATACATATGCACTGTGAAATGATTACCACAATCAAGTTAATTAACACATCCGTCACCTCACATACTTACCTTTTTTATTTGTGGTGAGAACACTGGAGATACACTCTCACGGGACTTCCCTGGTGGCGCAGTGGTTAAGACTCCGCCTGCGAATGTAGGGGACATGGGTTCCAGCCCTGGTCTGGGAAGATCCCACATGCCGCGGAGCAACTAAGCCCGTGCATCACAACTACCGAGCCCACGTGCCACAACTACTGAGCCCGCGTGCCTCGAGCCCGTGCTCCACAACAAGAGAAACCACAGCAGTGAGAAGCCGCCCACGCACCGCAGCGAAGAGTAGCTCTCACTTGCCACAGCTAGAGAAAGCCCGCACGCAGCAATGAAGACCCAACACAGCCAAAAATAAATAAATTACTTAAAAAAAAAATCCACTCAGCCACTTCCAAGTATACCATACAGTCTTGTTAAATACAGTCACCATGCCATGCATTAGATCCTCAGAACTCACTCATAGCTAAAAGTTTGTCTTTTCTGACCAACAACTCTCTGTTTCCCTGACCTCCCAGCTGCTGGCAGCCACCATTTTACTCTCTGGGTCTATTAATTTGCCTTTTTTAGATTCCCCATATGTGACACCATACAGTATTAGTCTTTGACTAATTTCACTTAGCATAATGTCCTCCAGGTTAATGGCAGGTTTTCCTTCTTTTTGTGGCCAAATAATATTCCACTGTGTGTATATACACACATCTTCTTTATCCATTAGCCAATGGACACTTTTTTTGTTGTTCTTTTGTTCTTGGCCGCGCTGCGTGGCTTGTGGGTTCTTAGTTCCCAGACCAGGGATTGAACCCACGCCCTCGGCAGTGAAGGCAGTGAAAGCGTGGAGTCCTAACCACTGGACCACCAGGGAATTCCCTCTAGTTGTTATTTTGCTAGGGATCTTCACACCTTTTTCCATAGTGGCTGTACCAGTTTACATTCCTCCTCACCCTCTCCAACACTTATCTGTGTCTTTTTGATAATAGCCATCCTAATAGGTGTGTGAGGTGATACCTCATTGTGGTTCTGATTTGCATTTCCCTGGTGATTAGTGATTGCACTGGGTCTTGAAGGACAATGAGGACCTAATTAGGTTAGAAAAGTGGTGGTGGGAGAGCATCCCTGGCAGAGGAAACAGCCAGTGCGGCCTTTGCACATGCTGTTTCCAGAGGTGAGAAACAGCTTTGAGGGAACTAGTGGTTTCAGTCGTGGCCCCCAAAAGATAATGTCCTAACCCCGGAACCTATGAATGTAACCTTATTTGGAAAAAGTCTTTGCAGATGTAATTAAGTCAAGGATCTCGAGATATCCTGGGTTATCCAAGTAGACCCTACATCTAAATACAAGTTCCCTTATAAGAGGCAAAAGAGGAGAAGACAGAAGAGGAAAAAGCCATGTGAAGTTGGAGACAGAAATTGAACTCAATTTCTAGCCTCCCTCCCCTTCCCTCGAGGTTGGAGGTGAGAGGTCGGTAAGTTAGACTTCTTCCTGTGCCTCCAAGCCCCAACCCTCTAATCACATGACTGGTTTTTCTGGTCCTGACCAGCCCCCATCCTGAGTCCCTCATTAGTGTAAACTCAGGTGTGGTCAGGGAGCGCCCCTCATCTATGAATAACAAAGACAAGCCTATCACCTGGAAGTTCCAAGGACTTAGAGTTTGTCTCCCAGGAAACAGCCGGAGACCAGATGCATTCTCCAATATACCACAACAATGCCGAAGGGGCCAGGATCCACTTGTTCATTCATTTAACAAATGTTGACCGAGCACTTGCCATGAGCCATGCACAGTTCTTGGTGCTGGAGATCCAGCAGGGTAAGCGGACACTCACCGTGGTCCTCCCAGAGCTGACGTCCTCATGGGGACAACTGACAATAAAGAAGAAAAGTAAACGGCAATGGTGTGTCAGAAGGTCATGAGTGGCGAGGGAGAGAGCAAAGCAGGGATGAGTGGGAGTGCTGGGAGCGGGGTGCAACTTGAAAAAGGGTGGTTGGGGAAGGCTTTGCCTTGTGTAGTTGAGCGAAGACCTGAATGAGATCAGGTTGAGCCATGTGGGTATCTGGGGGAAGGGCATTCCAGGCTGAGAGAACCACCAGTGCAAAGGCCCTGGGCCAGGAGCATGCCTGCCTTAGGCCAGCTTGGCTGGATTTGAGCGAGGAGAGAGGAGACAGGGGACAGGGCCAGATCCTGCAAGTCTGTCTAGGCCACAGTGAGGACTTGGACTTTTGTGGCAGGTACGGGGTTGGGCGGTGGCATTGGAGCAGAGGAGGGACGTGAGGGGACTTAGGTCTTCACAGGCTCCCTCTGGCTGCATGTGGAGAACAGGCTGTGGCAGGTGAGGGCTGAGGCAGGGAAGCTGATAAAGTGAGTAGGGAACAGTGATATTCAGGCAGGTGATGGTGGTGGCAGTGGGAGTGATGAGAGGTGGTCGGATTCTGGATACATTTTGATGGTCAGCCAACAACTTTGCTGACGGACTGGACTGTCAGCGGATAGTGAGAGGCAAACAGTCACAAGTCCCCTCCATGCCTTTGGGCCTGAACACCTGGAATGATGGAGCTGTCATTTACCTCGATGTGGAAGGTGACCGGGGTTTGGGGGCTGGGGCTGAGGTTTCAAGGCAAAGATGAAGGGCTCAGGGTGACCGCCTCCTGGCCCTGTGTGATTAGCTCTAGCTAGAGGCAGATCCATGTTGGAACCGCAGCTCCCCATTCACTGTGTCCCCCCCACCAGGGAACAACCCAACCTCAGCCCGCTTGAGCGGGAGTCCCACTGAGGCGCCCTTTGCGGCGTCAGCTGCCACTGTCACCACCAGGTGGCGCCCCTTGCACCAGCCCGATTTCCCCCCCCTCCCTGCTCACTATCTCCCCCCAATATTTCCTTTCACTTTCGATCTCTGGCTGTCACCCGGCGTGGCCCCTTCCACACCCAGCTGGGGCAAGCCTGGTGCGTGAGGAGAAAGGGGATCCTGGTCCCCGAAGGGCGGGTCCGGGATCCCCCTCTTGGGGCTGAGCGGAGAGGGGTGGGGGTCGGATTCCTGGGTCCCTGGCCCGGGGAGGGCTGCGGGCACCGGACGTCGGGGTTCTTAGAAGGAGAGATGAGGAGTTTTCACCATAACCGTGCTTCACGCAGGAAGCTCTATAGAGTAGGAGGCGGAAACTTAGCCACATCAAAGGACCGAGGGAGGGGCGGAGGGGCGGGGAGGGGGAGGGGCGGGGAGGTGAAGGGGCGGGAGGGGCGGGCAAGGAAGGGGCTGGGGTGCGGGGGTCCGAGACTCGCTCTTCTGTCCCTTCCAAGATCCGGCCACAGGCATGAGGGGCCCCGGGCCGAAATGATAGTGCTGGCGCCAGCCTGGAGCCCAACTGTGCGTATCCCTGGGGGTTAAGGTGGGGGAAAGGAAGAGCGGTGTCAGGATGGGCAGAGCTGAGAGGGGAGATGGACAGAGTTGGGGTGGACAGGGTGTGGGGAGATGGACAGGGGTGGGGAAGATGGACAGAGTTGGCAGGAGATGGACAGAGTTGCGGGGAGATGGACAGGGGTGGGGAAAGATGGGTAAGGGTCGGGGGAAGAAACAGGGAGGTGGGTACAAATGGTAAAGCTGGGACCCAGATCTAGGGAGAAACAAGAGAGATGAGCATGGAGGGGCAGAGGGATGGACAGAGATGAGAAAATTCTGGGCAGAAGTGAGCAGAAGTGGAGAGAGATGGGTCGAGGTGGGGAGATGGGGGGCAAAACAGATGGGGCAGAGGAGGGTGAAAACTGGTCAGCGCCCGACCAGAGGCAGAAAGAGATACAGGAAAGATGGTCAGAGGTGGGCACACAGGAGCCAAGAGGAGGAGGAGCTGAGAAGTGGAAGAGCTGGAAAGGAGAAAGAGGGAAGAGAGAAAAGGGGGCCGGAGGGGGCAGCCTCGACAAGGGAGGGGGCGGGGCGGGGCCAATGGAGGCCTCACCCCGCGCCGCCCGCAGACCTCGCTGCTGCTGCTGCTGCTGCTGCTGCTCAGCCCCCGCCTCCGCGGGGCCCCGGACTGCTCCTTCCCGCACAGCCCCATCTCCTCCACCTTCACCAGCACCATCGGCAAGCTGGTGAGCGTCCCTGCTCCAAATCTGAGGCCCAGGTTCTGTCTCTAGGCCTGAGTTCCCCCTGTCTAGGTCTCGGTGGGTGGCTCCCAGTCTCCACACTCTGGGTCCCCGGCTCCCCTCCCCCAAGTCCCTGCTCCCTTCTCTCTGGGTCCCTGTCCCCCTCTCTCCGGGTCCCCGCCCCCTCCGGGTCTCTGTACCCCTCTCTCTGGGTCCCCATCTCCCCACCCTGGGTCCCGCCCCCTTCTCTCTGGGCCGCTGTCCCCCCGTCCCCAGGTCCCCATAGCTCTCTTTCCTCCTGTCTGCAGCCAGGCCTGACTTTGTTTTCTCCCGCAGTCTGACTACCTGCTTCAAGATTACCCAGTCACTGTTGCCTCCAACCTGCAGGACGTGAGTCACAGATGGGAGGGGCCCGGGATGGAGGTGGGAAGGAGAGATTCAAGACTCACCACCCCTCAGGGAGCCAGGCTAGTGTGCTGACCCGGCCCCCTCCTCCCCTGGGACCCTGGAGTCCCGGCCCCCAGCCCCACTAGTCTAAGCCCCCTGCCCCCTCCGTCCACGAGACCCAGAGCCTGGGTGGTCTCTCCCCAGGACGAGCTCTGTGGGGCTTTCTGGCGTCTGGTCCTGGCCCAGCGCTGGATGGGACGGCTCAAGACTGTGGCTGGGTCCCAGATGGGGAAACTGCTGGAGGCTGTCAACACCGAGATACACTTCGTCACCTCATGTGCCTTCCAGGTCAGCCCTGAACTTGGGGAACAAGTGAGGGGAGCGTGATGCTTTCCTAGGGATTGGAAGCAAAGGTCTGCTAGGACTTACTGGAGATTTCCTTTGACCTGATCAGCCTGAGGGAGGTGGAGCTGGAAGCCCAGTCCTGCTGGGGTCCCTCAGTGCTGGGAAGTGACAATTCTCTAAGTACTGGAGGATGGCCAGGGGTCTGAGCCCAATGCACCAATTCTAAGTTTGTTTCTCAGGCCCTGTTGAAGGATATTGCTAAGGGGTTCTCACCCCTAGCAACCCGGAGAAGGAGGGGATCTAAACTCCCTCCTGATCCAGGTCTGACCGCATTGCTAAGGAGGCTTCCCCCTAGCAACCTGGGGGAGCAAGGCTCCAAACTCTCTGTGAGACCCAGGGCTTGCCCTTGACCTGAGGTGATGCTAGGGGTGATGCCGTGGTGACGTCTCCCTCCCCTGCCCCCAGCCCCTCCCCAGCTGTCTTCGCTTCGTCCAGGCCAACATCTCCCACCTCCTGCAGGACACTTCCCAGCAGCTGGTGGCCTTGAAGCCCTGGATCACGCGGCGGAATTTCTCCAGGTGCCTGGAGCTGCAGTGTCAGCCGGGTAAAGGTGCCCAGCGCCCCATAGCGCACCGCCCCACCCCCTCCTCTCCCACCTTCACTAGGCCCTCATGCCTTCCACTCAGGGCTCCCCAGACCCCACCGTGTTCCTATGGGCTGTGTGACTTTGGGCCTGTCATCCCCCTCTGGGCCCCAGTTTACCCATCTCTGAGAAGGGATTAACCAATCCTGCCTGTTTCTCTGAGGTAGCTGTATGCCATAGAAATAGAATGAGAGTCACACATTTAAGTGTAAATTTTCTTGTAGCCATGTTTAAAAAAAGTTAAAAAGAAAAAAGGTTAATTCACTTATTTTTCAGGATTCTTTTTTTTTTTTTGCGGTACGCGGGCCTCTCACTGCTGTGGCCTCTCCCATTGTGGAGCACAGGCTCTGGACGTGCAGGCTCAGCGGCCATGGCTCACTGGCCCAGCCGCTCCGCGGCATGTGGGATCTTCCCAGACCGGGGCACGAACCCGTGTCCCCTGCATCGGCAGGCGGACTCTCAACCACTGAGCCACCAGGGAAGCCCAGGATTCTTAATGTTTGTTATTTTTTAGCATATTATTGGTGGATTTATTTTTAAAACTTTTTTATGTTGGGATAATTACAGATTCAAAGGAAAGGGGCATAGAAACTGTACAGGGAGGTCCTGCACACCCTTCACCCAGCCTCCCCAGTGGTACCTTTTGCTTGGTAACATTAATTCTAGCACAATGTCAAAACCAGGAAATTGACATGGCTGCAATCCACAGAGTTTATTCAGAGTTTACCAGTTATATATGAGTGCATGCATGTGTATGTGTATTAGTTTGTTACAGCTGCTGTAACAAAGTACCACCAACCAGGTGATTGAAGCAGCAGCAGTTTATCTTCTTACAGTTGGGAAATTGAGGGGTGAGCAGGACCAGCTTCTTCTGAGGGCTGTGAGGGAAGGATCTGTTTCAGGTCTCTCTCCTTGGCTTCTAGATGGCCATTTTCATGTTCACATGGCACTCTCCCCCTATGCATATCTCTGTGTCTAGATTTCCCCTTCTTATAAGGATACCAGTAATATTGTATTAGGGTCCACCATTAACAACCTCATTTTAACTTGATCACCTCTTTGCAGACCTGATCTCCAAATAAGGGCACATTCCGAGGTACTGTGGGCTAGGATTTCATCGTATGAATTTTGAGGGACACATTCAACCCCTAAAAGAGAGAGTGTGTGTGTGTATGTATGTGTATCTATGTAATTTTTTCACACATGTAGCTTTGTGTAACCACATGTGAGTTTGTGCAACTAGATCTCATCCTAAAACTCCCATCCTAACCCCTGTCAGCCAGTAATCTGTTCTCTATAATGATGTTATTGAATTTATTATTATTATTATTTTTTTTTTTTTGGCTGTGCTACATGGCTTGTGGGATCTTTGTTCCCCAACCAGGGATCAAAGCCGTGCCACCTGCAGTGGAAGCGCATAGTCCTAACCACTGGACCGCCCGGGAATTCTGTGATGTTATTGAATTTATTTATTTATTTAGCGGAGCCTTAACCACTGGACCACCAGGGAAGTTCCTTGAATTTAATTCTCATAATTTTATAAATTTTAAAATAATATTTAAATCACAAATTTTGGGAGGGTGCACGCCCCGCAACTTGTGGGATTTTAGTTCCCTGATCAGGGATCGAACCACGGCCCTCGGCAGTGAGAGCTCAGAGTCCTAACCACTGGACTGCCAGGGAAGTCCCTAAACCAGAAATTTTACTAACTCAATATTTTTTATTTAACCCAATATATTTTAACCCAAAATAATATCATTTCAACACATAATATTTTTAAAAATTACTTCATGAGGTATTTCACATCCTTTTTTCCCTACTAAGTCTTTAAGAAGTGGTGTGTATTTTACACGGACAGCACATCTCAGTTCAGATTGGCCGCAGGTCACATATTTATTCGCCACGTGAGGCAAGTGGCCGCCATATTGGATGGGCCAGCCCTAAAGTTTCAAAGTGGGGAATTCCCTAGAGGTCCAGTGGTTAGGACTCCGAGCTTTTGCCGCCAACGGCACAGGTTCAGTCCCTGGTCAGGGAGCTAAGATCCTGCAAGCCACGTGGTGCGGCCAAAAAAAAAAAAGTTTCAAAGTGAAGTAACTTTATTGGAATATGACGAGAGGCCACGCCCTGTGAAAACTTAACTTGTTCAGTTTATTAAGGTTTCCTTTACGGCCAAGTATATAATCAGTTTTGTAACTGAACAAGGTCTCAGGAAAATAATAGTTTGTTTTGTTTTTTGGTACGATCAGGGTTGAATCAGTGTGTATATATTCTATCAACCTTATCTTGGTATTATTCAGAGACTTTCTGTCTTCGTTATATTTGTCTACAAGATGTGTCAAGTTCTGAGAGGGATGGTTAAAAACCTCCCGCTCTAGGGACTTGCCTGGCGGTCCAATGGTTAGGACTCCATGCTTCCACTGCAGGGGGGCACAGGTTCCATCCCTGGTCAGATCCCGCAAGCTGTGCAGGGGGTGGGGGTGGGGGGACATAAGAAAACCTCCCTCTCTAATTATATTCTTCTCAGTTTCTTCCTGCATTTCCAATCATTTAGTCATTTATATATATTTTTTTAATTTATTTATTTATTTATTTTTGGCTGCGTTGGGTCTTCATTGCTGCGCGCGGGCTTTCTCTAGTTGCGGCGAGCGGGAGCTACTCTTTGTTGCAGTGCGCGGGCTTCTCATTGCGGTGGCTTCTCCTGTTGCGGAGCACGGGCTCTAGGCGCATGGGCTTCAGTAGCTGTGGTGAGTGGGGTCAGTAGTTGTGGTGCATGGGCTTAGTTGCTCTGCGGCATGTGGGATCTTCCCGGACCAGGGATCGAAGCCATGTCCCCTGCATTGGCAGGCGGATTCTTAACCACTGTGCCACCAGAGAAGTCCTAGTCATTTATATTTAACGTTGTCATTTGTATTTACATGTATCACTAATCATTCATTCAACCAACCTTTATTAACCATCTCCCTGGCGCCTGGCATTGGAGACACAGCACAGAACAAGATCAAGTCCATGTCCATGGGAGGCTGACCTGCTAATCAAGGAGACAGACGATAAACATGTAAACATATAATTAATCAGGAAAGTGAGTGTAATGAGCCCCATGCAGGCAAATTAAAACAGGGTGATGGAATCATGGGCTGAGGTGGTTAGCTGGAAAGTCACTGAAAGTTGTGAAAAAGGGAACAGCCAGTGCAAAGGCCCTGAGGCAGAAACCTGCCTACCTGTTTAAGGAATCATGAGGAGGCCCCAGTGGCTGAGGCCAAGTAAGCAAAGGGGAGAAGGTGGGTGGTGAGGGTACAGAAGGAACAAAGGGGCCCAGATCAAGTGGGGCCTTGTGAGACATCATAGCTTCACACTTTGTATCTTTCATTGTTCTATATCTGTCCATTCATCCACTCAGATATTTACTTTATGTAAATTAAACTATTATTTAGTAAGCACTAAGTAGTAGGTTCTGGCAATAAGGCTCCTGTCACCCTCGTGTAGCTCATAGACTATTGGGGGAAGAAGAGAAATAAGCAAATCGATACATAAGCACTAGACACACATTTGTCCCTTTATAAAATAAAATGTAGGGAATTCCCTGGAGGTCCACTGGTTAGGACTTCCACACTTCCACTGGCAGGGGCCTGGGTTTGATCCCTGGTCGGGGAACTAAAATTCCACATGCCGTGTGGGCAAAAAGAAAAAAAAAGTACAATGATATATTTGAAATAAAAAGTTATTAATGGCTTTAAAAAATAAATAAAATTCAACCTTACTACATGCTAGACACTGTTCTAAGCACTTTCGGTATATTCATGCATTTAATCTTTGTGACAACCTTATGAAGTCGATACAATAATTATCCCCATTTTATGGATGAGGCGACTGAGGCCCAGAGAAGTCAGCAGCCCACCTGAGGTCACACAGCAGGACCAGACAGGCCTTTTTTTCCTTCCCTGGCCTGCCCCTTCTTCTCAGTCACCCAGCCTCCTCTCTCCTGGCAGACTCCTCCACCCTGCTGCCCCCAAGGAGTCCTGGGGCCTTGGGGGCCACATCCCTGCCGGCCCCGCAGGCCCCTCTTCTGCTTCTCTTGCTGCTGCTGCTGCTGCCCGTGGCCCTCCTGCTGCTGGCTGCTGCCTGGTGCCTGCACTGGCGAAGGAAGAGACAGAGGATGCCTTACCGTGGGGAGCGGGTGAGCCAGTGGGGTGGGCAGAGGGCGTGGCCGGAGTCAGCTGATCCTTTGGGGGCCATAGGTGCCCTGCCTGGAGCACTGACTCCTCAACAACCTGAGGACCCCGGACTTGGTGTTGGCGTGGGTGGCATGTGTGGTGGGGGCTGGGTGGGGAACTTGAGTAGGGAAGGGGTGGGTCAGTCTGCATGCAAGAAGACCCTTCTGGGGCCATGGAGGGGGACAGACCGGAACAGACAGCAGACTGGAGGCCAAAGAGGAGGCTGCTGGGCGAGGGTTCAGGGAGAGAGGACAAGGCCTGAGCCAGGGCCGGACCATGGGGACGGAGAGGAGGGGACGGGCAGAGTCAGGGGTCAGGGATCATCGGGAGGGATGGGGCTGGAGACTGACAGGCTTGGTGGGGGGTGCGAGGAAGGAGGAAGGGGAGGTGGCACAAGCAGAGGACGCTGGGTCTGGCCCAGTGGGGAACCTGGGGGGAAGAGGGAGATTCGGGAAAGACAGTGAGCTCAGTGGGGACCTGCAAGCATGAGGACACCGCCCACCCCGACCTCCAGGGAGGTATACAGGAGTCTACAAGCCAGGAGAGAGCGGCCTCCTGGAGCAGGCAGAGGGGACCGCCTCTGCAAAGCCCTCCTGGTGTGAAAAAGGTCAGAGGGATCTAACAAGAAACATCTGGCATCAATGGCTCACACGTAGAGTGCCTCAGTGTCTCAGGTCTTGCGCTGGAGCTTTCTACAGATTAAGTCACTTAATTGAGAAGCTGGTGCCATTATTATCCCCATTTCACAGAGGCGGAAACCAAGGCCCAGAGAGGTAAGTCATTTGCCAAAAGTCACACAGCTCATGAGTGACAGAGCCAAGATTTGACTCTGGGCCTTCTGATTCCGGCTTCTGTGCCTTTCACTCTTTTGCCTCAGTTTCCTTATCTGTACAAAAGACTCTAATAATAATCCTTCTACCATAGAGTTGTTGAGAGGTTAAGGGAAGTGACCACAAAAAACCCTTTGAGCAATGCTGTCCAAGGAAATAGAATATAAGCCACACCACACATGTGATTTTAAATTTTCTAGTATTTTTCTTTTTTTAAAGTAAAAATAAGCAGGTCAGTATAAAGAATATATTTTAGGGAATCCCCTGGTTGTCCAGTGGTTAGGACTCTATGCTTCCACTGCAGGGGGCACGGGTTTGATTCTTGGTTGGGGAACTAATATCCCGTAAGCCCAGTGGCGTGGTCAAAAAAAAAAGAATATATTTTATTTCACCCTGTGTATCCAAAATGTTGTCATCTCAACATGTAATCAATACTTTAAAAAATTATCAATGAGATATTTTTACATTCTTTTTTTCATACCAGGTCTTCAGAATGTAGTGTGTATGCACCACTCACAGCACATCTCAATGCATATGCCAAATTATCAGAAATATTTGATCAGTATTTAGATTCCATGAAATTTACAGTTGCATAAGTAGATTCGTATACTCAAGTTCTTTGAAACCTACAGAAGTTTTCCAATGACTAGATCACGGAACAATTTCTAAATTAAATGATCTTTCATGTCAGCATTTGTTTTGGGGAGTACTTTTTTTTTTTTGGCTGCATTGGGTCTTCGTTGCTATGCACGGGCTTTCTCTAGTTGTGGTGAGCAAGGGCTACTCTTTGTTGTGGTGCTGTGGTGCAAGGTCTTCTCATTGCAGAACACAGGCTCTAGAGTGCAGGCTCAGTATTTGTAGTGCACGAGCTTAATAGCTCTGCAGCATATGGGATCTTCCCAGACCAGGGCTCGAACCCTTGTCCCTTGCATTGGCAGGCAGACTCCTAACCACTGCGCCACCAGGGAAGTCCCGGGCAGTAATTTTTATTACAATTCTTTTTGAGATACAATTTTTTTTTTTTTTTTTTTTTGGCCACGCCTCGCAGGAGCTTCCCTGACCAGGGATTGAACCTGTGCCCCCTGCAGTGGAAGCTCAGAGTTTTAACCACTGGACCGCCAGGGAAGTCTGAGATACAACTTTTTTTTTAAAAACACATTTTCTATCTTTTTTTTTTTAAGTCTTTATTGAATTTGTTACAATATTGCTTCTGTTTTATGTTTTGGTTTTTTGGCCAGGAGGCATGTGGGATCTTAGCTCCCCGACCAGGGACCAGGGACCAGGGATCGAACCCGCATGCACTGCATTGGAAGGTGAAGTCTTAATCACTGGACCACCAGGGAAGTCCCTGAGATACAATTTTCAGTTGAGAAGTTTTCCTCCTACCCTTGTCCCTGTTCACACCCTGTTTTCCCACTCTCCCAATAACCACACTATTAGTTTAAGTTTAAATTAGGTAAAATGAAAAACTCAAGTGTCTCAGTTTTGCTGGCCACATTTAGAGTGCACAGTATTCACATGTGGCTGGTATCACAGCTGTCCTGGAGAGCGCAGATCTCTCATGGTTGCAGAGAGTTAGTTCTCTTGGCCAGCAATGCCCAAACACACAGTGAGCATTCAGGGTGAATGGAGTTGTTTTTGGCATTGAGACTGTGCCAAGCCCTGAGCTTGTTGCTTTCCTCTCCTCTGTCCATGGAGCCTCAAACAGCCCAGTGAGTCATCTATCATCCCATTTTACAGAGGAGGACACTGAGGCCCAGAGAGAGGAGTCACCTGCCCGAGGACACAGAGTCGGAAGTTGGAGGAAGTCAGCTAGAAACTGGTCCTTTCCTTGGCCACGTTGCTCCTGTCACTGTCTCCCCAGGATGGAGGCAACGCCAGCACCCAGCAGCAGCCCCGGCCTCACCCTCCCCACTCTGTACAAAGCCCTTGTCCCCAGGAAATTGTATATAAATCATCCTTTTCTACCAGCTCTGGCCAGGCCTGTCTGTGGATGGGACAGGGTGAGTGGATGGGGCAGTTTGGGTTTGGGTCTTGGTTTTTCAGTTAATGCAGTGTTTCATTCAATACCTATTCTCTGAGGCCTCCTGGGCCCCACGGCCAGTGCAGGTCAGGGCTGGGACCCACACGTGAGTGAGAACCAGCCCCACCCTCTCAGGGTTCCTGGTCCATGGGGGAGAAGACAGGGGCCCCAGAGAGCCCCAGTACAGGATGACACACGCTCTAATGGAGGTAGCATAGGCACTGTGGGAGCCCCGAGGATGTACCTGAGCCAGCCTGAGATAACAGGGAAGCTCTCTAGAGAGAAGGACTCAAGCCAGATTTTAGAAGGTGGGGGTGGAGGGAAGGGCATCCCAGTCAAGGGGAACCGCCAAAGCAAAGGCTTTGTCCAGAAAGTCCAGAAAGTGAGAAGCTCCTTTGGGGAACACTCAGGCATCTATAAGTCATTCCTTCATGCGTTAGATCTCATGGGGAAGACTAGCTCCACCTTTTTGACAGGTGAGGACACTGAGGCCCATACACGGCCAGGGATTTAGCCAGATCACAAGGAAGCCGGACAGGCACCGGAATCCAGATCTCTAAGCCTAGACTGAGCGCAAAAGGGCATGCCTCGTTGCCCGCTGTGGGCCTACACGTATTATCGCTTTAGGGGGTAAGAGCGCTTCTCCTCCAGCCTTCTCGCCCCCGTCCCACCGCAAACACAGCGGACAACTCGCGCGAGGATTACCAGCCCCTCCTAAATACAGCAACGGAGGCTGAACAGCCCCGCCCCCGCAGAGCCCCCTCCTGCCCCACGTGATCTCGCCCGGCACAGCCATGGCCGCCTAGGTTCGATAGAAACGATACTGATTGGACAGTCAAAAGACGACCCGCCTTCCAGTGGGCCTTTCTGCGCACGCGCACGGCACTCTGGCCCGTGAAAAGACGGAAAGCGGCCGTGTTGCGTCACTTCCTCCGCCCCTGTTTCAAGGGATAAGAAACCCTGCGGTTAAGGTTCCTTCTTTCCCAGGCGGCTGCCGAAGATGGCGGAGGGGCAGGTACAGGCTCTGCGCGGGCCGGGGCGGTGTGGGGCCGGGGTGGGGTCGAGACCGGACCGGGGTTGGACCTCTTTTCTCTCGTAAGTGTACTGTGGAACTTAAGATCGATAACTGAGCAAAACAGAAAGCTTTCGGGGTAAGAGGAACCCTAAACGGGTATATAAAGCGGTTTTTACGCTCTGGGCTGGCTAGAATGCGGCATCATTTTTCCCCCAGGGGGCAGTGATCGGGGCTTCCAGCACAAGAAAAGTTATTTTAAAACTAGGCCTGATTTACCTTGATCTTGGCCGGGTCTTGGCCGAATTGGGCCCGTGTGTCCTCAGCGGTGGGGAAGCACGCGGAAGGCAGCTGCGCGGCCAGGGGACGAAGAGAAGCCGAGGATTGGTCAAAATGGAGGGTACTTTCGCCCTGCCCAAAGCGCGGGTTGTTTCGGCCTCGTGGGAGTGCGTATTAGGGGTCTCCTGCAGCTGTGGGTATTTTAGCGCGAAATCTTAGCAGCGGGTCGAGAGAGCTCCTGCCTACAGGGCATGCAGGCGCGAGTTGCTCTTTTCCTTTCTCCTGGGGGTCGAGGAACTCTTTAAAGGTCTGCTGGTGCTGGAAACAGGATTGTAATGAAATGTTTACAGCAGTGGGATATCCTTTGTTCTTAACGATCTGGAGGTCCTCAAGGACGGCAGCAGAAACTTAACTCTGACTTGGCCCAGTCGTCTTTGGTAACCAATTAGATATAAAGGAGGGGATGGCTCTGGAAGGGGTGTACCTGTGATGGGTCTATGATTCCGGAAGGAAAACCACGTTTGGGGCCAGGCAAGTGGTAGAGTTCTCCGAACCTGTGTCCCTGCATTTACGGCTCCTGGTATAGTTTGCCTGGTATTTTGTGTAATTCAGCTCATTTATCATAGTGTTCCTGAGGCAGGTATTGGAGATTTGGAGGGTTTTGACCAAAGTCACATTGTCAGGAAGTCTGGTTTTAGGTTCTGTAGCCTTTTACACTGGCCTCCAACAATCATAACATGTATAGGAAGCCCTTGGTAAAGAGTTGGGACTTTTATTCTTGACAAGAAGTTGAGGATTGGCGTTTGAGCAGTTCGCGGGAGGATGCAAATCTAGTCAGTACCAGAGCCAGCCAGGGCTTTTGACTACCCTTCCTAGTTTCATCTGCTCTGAACCTTCATGCTAGAAAAACATCTTTGAGACCAGGACAGAATCAGATTCTGTCGAGATGCTAAGGTTTGTATCCAGATCACAGGTTCTTCTGCCTGGAGGATCAGTATTGCCAGTCTGGATTCAGATGGTAGCTCATTCGCTGACTGTCAGGCATAATCTGGGCATAAAGATTCTTGCCCTTCAAGCAGCTGAGATGTGAGGGGAGTCCTTGGGTATCTTACCCCACTCACTGAAATCCTGAGTCATTTGCTCTCTTGGCCTTCTCTGTATAGTGAGGCTTAGTTCCTAGTTCTGTGTCTCTTACTTGGTTCGCAGGCACCCTGGGAGGTAGGTGAAATGATCAGGTAGGGAGGAATGATTGTTTGAGGCGGGGCGTCAAAGCTGTGGGTGCCTCTGAGCCCTCTCAACCTACCTCCAACAGGTCCTGGTTCTCGATGGCCGAGGCCATCTCCTGGGCCGTCTGGCGGCCATCGTGGCTAAGCAGGTGCTTCTGGGTAAGTCTGCCCCCTGCCCACAGCTTCCCCAGACATGAGCCTCGAGGTCAGTGATGAGCAAAAATCACCATCTTTCGTTTGAGTCTGACGACCATGAGATCAACCCCATGCACCGCTCTGAGACCTGCCAGGCTCCTCCCCTCCTAGGTTGGGGGCTCTGGGCTCTGTCAGACTAACAAATTGAACTTAAGCACGAGTCCAGCTCCGCCGATTGCTGCTCTGTGACACGGGGCAGGAGACTCCGTGCCTTCCTTGTTCATTGTGGTCGGTTTGAGACGGAAGGAGCCTCCTTTCTGGGTCCTTAGCAGTAATTGGGCCTGCTTCCTAACCTTTGACCTCCTTGATTGTCTCATTTTCCATTCCCTCTAGGTCGAAAGGTGGTGGTTGTGCGCTGTGAGGGCATCAACATTTCTGGCAATTTCTATAGAAACAAGTGTGAGTGAGGGCCTGGGAGGAGGGCTGGAGAGGGTGGACCTCTGTGGGGCTCACACTTCACGGGCTCCTAAGCAGTCCCACCAGTGGGGGGAGGTCCTAGTCTGAGTTCCCAAACACGCCCTCGGAAGAAAGGTTGTGTGCTGCGTTGGAAGGAGTTACCATCTGCCTGAGGACTCTTGAGGCCTCACACACTCTCCCCTCTTGCCAGTGAAGTACCTGGCATTCCTCCGCAAGCGGATGAACACCAACCCCTCCCGTGGCCCCTACCACTTCCGAGCCCCCAGCCGCATCTTCTGGCGGACAGTGCGAGGTGAGCTGGGCCTGAGGACCACAGGGGCTGATGGGGCGGGTGGCCGGTGATGAAGACTTTTCCCACTCTTGTTCGAGTTTCCCAACCATGAGATGACTCCACATGCACTACCATCTGAGGCCGCCTGCCTGCCCGCCCGCCCAGGTGGGGCAGCGGGGTCCTCGCATGCCCCGCTGAGCAGGTCTGTTGTCCTCTGCCCACAGGCATGCTGCCCCACAAGACCAAGCGAGGCCAGGCCGCTCTGGACCGCCTCAAGGTGTTTGATGGGATCCCGCCACCCTATGACAAGGTGAGCAAGACCCATCTCCCTCAGCAGCATCTTTGTGTCTGGCGTCTGTGATGTTCTGCAGTTACCTACATTGTTTGATCCTCGTGAAAACAGCACTGGCTGAGACGCCAGCCCCAGCCAGCCTTCTTCCCTGTCTGTCCCTCACTCCAGGTCTCTAAGTCCCTCTTCTTCTCTAACAGAAAAAGCGGATGGTGGTTCCTGCCGCCCTTAAGGTTGTGCGTCTGAAGCCTACACGGAAGGTGAGTTCCGGGGTCTGCTGAATGATGCCTTGGGGTCCCAGGCTTCCTGGGGGGTGCACCTAGGGCCCTAAGACTGGCAGATGATGGTTTTTTCTCACGATGGTCTGCGGATGCCACTGTGGGCAGTGCCGATAATGCCAATGGCTCAGCTGATGCCAGGAGGAGCAGAGAGCGCTGCCAGGGGTAGCCGTGTCTCTTGAGCATGGGCTTGCTGAAAAGTTGTATGGCTAGACTGGGATCCTCTAGGACCGGATGTCAGCTCCCTTCCCCTAGTCACCCTGGCCTCGTCTTCTTACAGCTTCGTTTCTCCCTCTCCCCTCCCAGTTTGCCTACCTAGGGCGCCTGGCTCATGAGGTTGGCTGGAAGTACCAGGCAGTAACGGCTACACTGGAGGAGAAGAGAAAGGAGAAGGCCAAGATCCACTACCGGAAAAAGAAGCAGCTCATGGTGAGGGTGGGGCTGTGGCTGGAGGGGCACCACGTTTTCTGGGGCAGGGTCTGGGAGCTGATTACTCTTAACTTGGGTCTTAGTTGTGCCCTCAGAAGGCTCTGCCTAAGGCCCAGTGTGGGTGGCCCCCTGGGATAAGGGCAGTCCTAGGGAGCAGCCACTAACCACCACCTGTCACCTTGACCCCACAGAGGCTACGGAAGCAGGCCGAAAAGAACATAGAGAAGAAAATCGACCGATTCACAGAGGTCCTCAAGACCCATGGATTCTTAGTCTGAGCCCAATAAAATTGACTGTTTCTTCTTCATGCTTGGCCTGGCCTGCCCTTCCTCCATCGCCACCCTAGGATGTGGGGGACCCCAGGGGCTGCCATCCAGGTGCCACAGGCAGCCTGGGGCTTAGAAGACTGGGTATAGCAAAGGCGCCTTAGCCACTGCTGTTTAAGAAAGGCCTTTTTAAAAGCGTAGACATTTGTAAGGGCTGTGCAGGCAGAATTTGCCTGTGACCTATTCATTCATGAGAGTTTTAGGACATGGACAGTTCGAACAACCAGTGCTGTTGCAATACTGGCAAAAGTGAGTTGGAAGACTTAATTGGAAGGGCCACTCACATCGCTTACAGGGAGTCTGTTTAAGCTTCCCACATGGTCAGGTACTATACTCTGCAGCTGTTAGGATGTGAGAGAATGCTTGGGCAGCACGAGTCTGGGGTTCTAAAAGGTGTTTATGGGGCTTCCCTGGTGGCGCAGAGGTTAAGAGTCCGCCTGCCGATGCAGGGGACACGGGTTCGTGCCCCGGGCTGGGCCCGTGAGCCATGGCCGCTGAGCCTGCACGTCTGGAGCCTGTGCTCCACAACAGGAGAGGCCACAACAGTGAGAGGCCCGTGTACCGCCAAAAAAAAAAAAAAACTTCTAAAAGGTGTTATGGAAGGGAAGTATGGCCCAAGGGGTCACAGGCATTGCCCTTGTGTCTTCCCTATATTTTGTGATCCAAAACTAATAAATTATTTTTAAAGAAGTTTGGCGTCTTTGCAGTGTGTGTCTGCCATAGAGGCAGGCCCAGGGGAGCAAGGCCCTCGGTGGATGGGAGGCTTTGAAGAATAAAACTGGCTGTGCTCTTTCTGCAGATGATGGATTAGAAACTGCCTTTCGTGGAGGAGTTGGCCTTTGTAGAGACTGACATGCCAAGGAATTTGAGGTGCCTATGAGATTGGTATTTACGACCTGTAGAGCCTGGTGTTGCCCAGTTTGCATAAAGTTGTCTTCCCTAATTCAGCTGCAAAGTATGGAATTGCCACCATTCTCTAAAACTGGTTCCTCACTGTGGGGCATGTGGTCTCTTCCAGTCTGCCACGCCAGGCCACGCTTAATGTGAAGAAATGGACAAGAAAAACACTCTGTAAATGGTGGTTAGGCATTAGAGAAAGTGGGATTTGAAAGCTCTTGGTGCTTTGTAAGATTAAA